ATACCTCAAAGAACTAGGACTAGAGGTCCCATTTGACCCAGCTATTCCCCTGCTGGGTATCTTCCCAAAAGAATTAAAAGAATCATACCACACTGCTATATGTGCACCCATGTTCATAGTGGCCGATTTTGGATTAATAGTATTAAATGTTTGCTCAGATTCATTTTTTAAAAATTTGTCTCTGTAGAGTTTTCTCCCTATTTTAAATTGTGGTAAAATATACATAAATGTATTAACTCAATCATTTTTAAATGTACATTTCAGTGATATTAAGTATATTTATATTTCTATGCAACAATTACCACCATCCATGTCCAGAGTCTTCTCATCTTGTACAACTGAAACTCTATACCCAGTAAACTATTACTCCCAGTACTCCCTTTCTCCATCATCTGGCAAACAACTTTTTGTCCTTATACTTTGTGTGTGTGTGTGTGTGTGCGTGCGTGTGTGTGTGTGTGATACAGGGAATCAAATTCAGGACCTTGTACTTGCCAGGCAGGTGCAGTGCCACTGAGCTAAATCCTCAGTCCCTCTCCTTACATTTTGACTACTCTATCTCATAAAACTGGAGGTATACATTATTCATCTTTTTGTGATTGGCTTATTTCACTTAGCATAATCTATAAGGATTATATATGTTATAACATGTCAGAGTTTTCTTCCTTTTTTAAAGAATAATAATATGCTATTATATGTATATACTATGTTTGCTTAGTCATCATCCAAAAATAGACACTTGGCTACTTCCACATTTCAGCTATTGCAAATAATGCTTCTGTGAATGCTGATGTATGAACATCCATTCAAGACCATATATATATGTATATGTGTGTATATATGTATATATGTGTGTGTATATATGTATATGTGTGTATGTGTATATATGTATATGCATGTACATGTATATATAGTCATGTATACGTAGTTGTGTATATGTATGTACATGTATGTGTGTATGTGTGTATATGTATGTGTAGATGTGTGTATATACATATATATATATGGGAGGGGGGTTGGTGCCAGGACTTGAACTCAAGGTCTCATGCTTGCCAGGCAGGTGCTGTGCCACTGAGCTACAACCCCGGGCCTCAAGACCCTATTTTGAATTTAATTTTAAGAAGAAGTGGAATTGTTACATCACATCATAATTGTTTTTAGAGTTTTGAGGAAATACCATAGTGTTTTCCATCACAGCCCCACCAGTTTACATTCCTACCGACACTGTACAAATATTCCAATGTATATACATCTTTCTCAACATTTATTTATTTGTTTCTAATTTATAGCAGTAATCTAAAGGGTCTGAAGTAGTATCTCATTGTAGTTTTTGTTTCCATAATAATGATATTAAGCATTTTTCATGTGCTTGTTGGCCAGTTGCATATCTTCTTGTTACTTATTTTTTAAAGCTTGCTCAGATATCACCTCTATAGGAATCTGCTTTTTTTTTTCCAGTCCCGGGGATCAAACTCAGGACCTTGCGCTTGCAAGGCAGGCAGGGTGCCATTGAGCTAAATTCCCAGTTTGCATATCTTCTTTAGAGAAATATCTACTCAAAAGTCTTTGGTATACTTGTTAACAGGTTTTTTTGTTGTTGTCTATGTTTTTGTCCCTATGACTTTCAAAGGGAAGCTATCCATATGAATATCAATGTTTTAGAAAATGATTTTAGTAACTGAGGACTTCGTGTGCTATTTCAGAAAAATCAGACTTCATACTTAGTCAAATGCTGGCACTAGGCAATTTTCAAATGCCAATTTTAATGAGCTGTCATTTGATAACTCTGTAAAGCTTGTTTGTTCATTTGAAGGTAAGGTTAGCATGGGTGAGTTATTAAAATCTTTATTATGTGAATTGTATAAAATCAGATGCAGAAAAATTTATCATCTCATTTACTTTTACAGTAACTGCTCATCAGTGGTGCAAGGTGGTGCACATAAAGACATGATTATGTAGATGTTCTAGTGAAGGTTGTTTTTAAATAGACTTGTCTATACTTCTGGGGACAGATAGTTCAGTTTTCTCATGTTTTTAAACTAGTATATGCCATAGCACATTGTTTAGTCAGTGTACCATGTCAAGGAAAAAAAGGTTTTTGAAGGATTAAGGTGGGACTTGTTTTTTCTCATGACAAAGTATAATGTAAGAGAGTTCAGCTTTCAGATTATCCAGCTCTCAGAATAAAGACTGTATTTATAATACATGCTATTATAGGTGACAGATTTTCTAATTGAATAATGTTTCAGGCAATTTTGATTTTAAAAAGAAACAGAAGTTTCTGTCTTTGATAACAAAAATATTTCCTCTGGATGAGAAGGTTTTAGGATGGCCCTTTAACTCATGATTTGTCATTCACAAAGCAAAGCTGTGAAGTTTGTTACCAAGGCTGATGAAACTGATAATGATGCCATTTAAAAGGATGAATTCCTAACTTAGCAAAGTAATGCTGAAATTATTCTGCATCATCAGCCAGATGTGCAACAGGTATGTGAGAGTTAAATGGCTTAATATCATGCTACAGTTTATATTAGAAAGATAGGAAGGAAGTGGGGGGGGGGGAGGCAGGCAGGGAGGCATGCTTTAAAAACTGCAAATCATTTAATGATTCTTATGAGCAATTTGAAATGCCACTCCTACATGAAATACATCTCCCAGAGGTTCCCTGGACCCCATAAAATTTAGTTCCTATCTCAATTACTACACTTCAAATGAGAATTTTGGGTTTTTACTCGTGTTTCTTGCTGAAACATCTCTGAGGTCTTTGAATGAAGACTGTACTCTGAACGTAAGCTTAGATTCTCACACATATAAAATGTTTAATGAGTAAAAATAATAGTCATTTTCTCTGCCAAAAATTACCACCACTCAAATAGTGTTCTGGTAATATAATGAATATAAAAGTGTTTTCCTTTTGCCTTTCCTTCTTCATCCAACACCATACATACAGAATTGATGAAGTTCTTTGCCACAGCAAAGGGCTAAACAACTTTATAGTAGAAGTTTTCAAAGTTTGAAGTTCCTACATCCCCTTATGGATAAACAGAATTCAAGACTTCTACATTGGGAATAACTGGGAAAAACTGGAGACATGTTTCATACATCTTAGACTGTATTTTTCGTTCAATAAAGTGGAAACTTATGATTCATTCTTTTTTAGAAATTTCTTTAAATAGAAACAAATTCAAATTTCTCTCAAAGAGTGGGTTTGCTTTAGTCACTTCTATTGCATCCATATGTAAAATGCCCATGGCAAAAAAAGTGACCAATTTCCTATCCTTCTCCTCCCACAATAAATTGCCTCAAACAGGGATTTCCTGGGATCCTTCAATTTCAATGATAAACCTGGGACAGGCCCAGGGAAACTGGGAAACTTGATCATTCTAAATTAGTAACACTATTAATATTCTGACAATTCCCCTGGTAGACACACACATTTCAGAAATCCAATTAGTAACTCCAATTAGTAAATCCAATTAGTAACTCAAGTACTTGGTACATGCATAAAAGTGTTTGTTAAACCTCCCTTCTTTTTTTTTCTGAATTACGTTTCTTTAGTTAGAGCAATTTATCTCAAACTTTACCATGTTTAGAATCACTCAAAGGGCTTGTTAAAATACAGATTGGTGGGGCTGGGGATTTAGCTCAGTGGTTCTGGTGCCTGCCTCGCAAGTACAAGGTCCGGAGCTTGATCCCCGGTACCAAACAAACAAACAAACAAAATACAGATTGGTGGACTCTTTGTCCAGAGTTTCTAATTCAGTAAATCCAGGGTAGGGCTTAAAAACTAGTAAGTGATCAGGTGACACCGACAATGTTGGTCCAGGCACTCAGTTTTGAGAACCATTGCACTAGAAGTTCTACATAGTACATTTCCTTATGAAATTAAGATGTTAATAAAAAATAAGGTTGTTGAAATCATGAAGTTAGGAGTAAGCAATGCAAAGTACAGAGTTTTATAAGAATCATTTTTATTTTCTTCATTTCTGAAGTACATCACAGTAGTGAGAATAGTTTAGAATAAAAATTTAATATAAAACTGTGGTGGTGCACACCTGTAATTGGAACACTCTGGGAGAGTAAATCAAGAGGATCGCAAGTTTGAGTCCAGCTTGGGCAATGTAGCGACTATAGAAAGACCAGAGTTCGATCCCTGGTACCAAAAAAAAGAAAGACGAGAGAGAGAGACACACACACACTAAGTGAGCATGTAGCCCAATGTGAAGGCTTTGGGTTCACTCTCCAATGCCAAAGGGGAAAAAAAGTGTAATAAAAAAGGTTTAAGCTTTCAGGAACATTTTTATAGAGATATGAAAGAGTTCTCTGTTGTTGGGTTTACTTTAATGAGTGATTTCTCTGTGGAAAAGCAAGCACACTATGACACAGTTCAGTGACATTAGGTTCCTCTCAGTTATGCTCATACTTCAGAATTGAAATATCCTTTGTACCTCATTTGAGTCATAGTTTCATACTCTCTGGCATACTTTACCATTCTCTCTGGCATACTAATCAAGAGAAGTGCATAATGATAAGCGTCTGCATTTCTTTTAACTTATGCAATCTTTTAAATATAACTGAGCATGTAACAAAAATATATAAGCAATTCCAAATCACAAATATACATTCAATTTTATGTCCCAAATCTGTCCAATTGCTTCTCATCGGTACAGAAATTTTGTTTTCAAATGTGGGGGGCAAAAGCCCCCTTATCTTCAAAGAAAGGTTCTTGACTATGTTCATTTAGACATTGTTTTTGACCTAAGAGAAACTGAGCTTGGTGCTTTGGTGACAGAATTTAAATACTAAGTACTGTGTGTTGTAATCATTTTGCAGGGAAATGGCTCTGGAAAAAAAAAAACCTTTACCATCCTGATGCACGAAATGGACTTCTAAATGTCCCAATCCTTGAGACTGATTTTCAATAATAACCATTTTGCTTTTGTCCCCAGCGTTCCAGTGGTGGGCTTGCCATTCCCTTGTGTGCATTCCAAGGGACTGTGTCTCTCCATGCACCTACAGGAAAAACTCTCTCTCTTTCTACCTATGAAGTAAGTGCAGAAGGTCAAAAAATAACCCCAGCCTCTAAGAAAATAGAAGTCTATCGATCTAAAAGTGTTGGCCATGAACCGAACCCAGAGGATTCTCCCTCAACAACTGCAGACACTAGTGTGAAAATACACTTGGAGGTTCTCGAAATTTGCGATAATGAAGAGGCTTTGGACACTGTGTCAATTATTAGCAACATCAGCCAGTCTTCTACACAAGTCAGATCTCCCTCACTACGCTACTCACGGAAAGAAAACAGATTTGTTTCATGTGATTTAGGGGAAACAGCCTCATATTCTCTCTTTTTACCCACAAGTAATCCTGACGGTGATATCAACATCTCCATTCCAGACACTGTTGAAGCACATAGACAGAATAGTAAGAGGCAACATCAAGAGAAGGATGGCTACCAGGAAGAAATCCAGTTGTTAAATAAAGCTTACAGGAAACAAGAGGAAGAAAGCAAGGGTAATTAGTGATCACGTGGTCTATTAGAAGCAAAAATGGCTCCGCAACTTCAAACTGCAAAATAAACAACTTTCTTTCCAGACTGATTTCCTGTTATTTCTTAGTTTACACAAGCTTTACTAACTTACTAGTTAATTATTTTTAGTGTGAAGAGCTGGAACTACTGTAGACACTAAGTGCATTTATATGTGCTGCCTAAAGATCACACACTGTGGTAATTAAAATATTTTAAGTCTTACTCGATTTCTACAAAGGCTTTTCTAAATCATGTATCTGCCTAGTTTATAGTCTCTGCCCACGTTTGTCAAATGAATATACTGTTTCCATCATGTTTCTACATTTAATGTTCGCTTTTACTGCAAGGGGAAAAAAGGAGATATTTTGATAATGGAAGAAATATAGCAAAACTCCCAAGTTATATTTGAAGAGGCTTGTGTAAATGTTGCTAGCAAAATAAGCTTATTCCAGTTACTCCTTCAGCTTTACACTGGTGTCTAGAAAATACTTTTATGTAAAATGGCAAATTAGATACTAACTTGGAAATATGCATGCCCCTAACCTATAAATAGTTGTTTCCTTAATTTCTGTAAAGTACAAATAGTTTAACAGGTGGTTTGTTTGGTTTGTTGTTTTGTTTTTTTTTTTGCTTTCTCTAAAATTTTCCTTTCATCTTTTCAGTATGTCAAGATGCCCTTTAAAACAAATATGTTGTATGTTACAAGTGAAATTAGAGGTAGTCTTTGACTCAAACATTATTGGAAAAGTTTATTAGCTTTCCCTCACTATAACAAATACCTGAGATTACTAGCTTGTAGAGAGAAAAGGCTAATTTAGCTCACAATGTCAGTTTCCAATCCATGATTGATTGGCCCTACTGATTTGGGGCCTCTGGCAAGGCAGCACATTATGATGAGAGCTCACAGTGGAGTAAAACCATTCAGCTCATGGTGATCTTGGTAGCAAAAAAAATAGAAGGGACCAAAGTCCCACAATCCTCATTGAGGACATGTGCCCAAAGACCTAAAAACCTCCCACAAAGCCCCACTTTCTAAAGGATCCATGTGACCCCCAACAGACCTTCCTGACCACAAAACCTCCACCAATCAAGTCTTTAAGATCCAGTCTACAGCAGTGTCTTAATTTTACTTGCTCCTAGAATTGTTATGTTTATTTGAATGGAAACTGAGGGAAAATATTATCAGATTACATCCTAAGAACTGGATCCAGCTATAGTAACAAGTTTCTGGATAAAGCAGAAGAAAATCCTCTAATCTTAAAACAAATGTGTCAGTTCTTAAAGCTGAAGATTGGACAAATTTTCTCAGTTCTTGAAGTGTACAAAATTTTACTTCAAATGTTAAGTTTAAGTGCTTGTTTCTTTCCCAAAAATATGTGTTATCTCAAGTGAACAATATGTATTTTGTTAAATGATTGGAAGGTATGCATTTCAAGATTAGTTTTAAAATATGTTGTGTTGCAAAAATATAAGAATTATCTTGTCAGAATATTAGGAATGTATATCTCAAAAATTATGAAGTGATTTTTCTTCAAATTGCTTTATTCTAATCTTTCCATAAACATATATTAAATGCATTACTTAACTGTCTACTTTCCAAAATTATTGAACTGATTATTTATATGATCTTAGACTTTGTGTCCCCTTACCTCACACATATTTATTTATGGATTAAGAGAATTGTTTTTTAGATTCACTGATTTTGGTTTCTATTTCCTTGTATCGAATCAAAACTCTAAATTACTTCACATGAGCTTCCAGAGTGTTTCACCTTTAGATTTTTTTATGGCCATCAAGAAAAGTTATTTTCAAAATAACCATCTCAACTAACTTTCTTCAATTCTCATGTAGTATCTCCTTATCTAAATTTTGCGAGCAAATGTAATGTTTATAGAGCAAGTCTCAAATAATGCATAGCATAAAAATTCAAATTCAAGTATACTTTCACTCTAAATATATTTTATTTTTAAATACTTTGTATCATCAGAATCAATTACTATTTTAACACAATGACAAATGGACAAATCAGCCTAATGTTATAAATCATTAACACTGAATGTCTTTACAAAAGAAAAAATGAATTGAATATTCTAATAATGCTTTGTAAAGGATAGACTTTGATATATTTAGATGTGTAATTTTCTGAAGAAAAGTATTATTGCTATTTTAAAATGAAATTTTTGGTAACTAAAATTAGAATCATCATGCAACTAAAGAAAATTGTAAAGATTTAAATGTAAACAAATCTTTTTTTTTTTTTTTGGTACCAGGGATTGAACTCAGGACCTTGTGCTTGCGAGGTAGGCACAGTGCCACTGAGCTAAATCCCTGGCCTAAACATGTCTTTCAAACTGTCCCACATTTTGAAAAGAAGATGATGAAAATCAAGTTTTGAAGAGCATATGAATTAGACTGGAAGACAATAATAGCTATTTTCCTGCCTGTCTTCCATTTTCTTTTCACTGGATACATGGAACTAGGCTGAGGGAAATGAAACAAAACAAAATCAAACAAACTAAGATATTCCTATTTAATTCCTCTTGGCTGTTGAATCATAGATATACTTTAAATTCTCCTGTATTGAAACAATGCGATGATCATTTAACCTGAAGACATAGTTTGTGAGGCTAACTAGGATCACATTACTAATCTATAACATTTCAAATTCCAAGCCAACAGTAGATGAATCTACAAGAAAAACCTACTTGGGCTGTGTATAAACATGAAGGGCTACTCCAAATTCTTATAAAGAGAAGGTAAGCTTAAACTTCCCAAGTCTTAAATTTACATACTCTTCAGTGATTCTGATTACAAAATGGTGTTGCCGGCATAGAAATATCCTTTTAGATATCCTTGCTACATCCAAATATCTTACCCTGGAAAGATAGTTATATAGTTCTTAGCATTAATAAACACTGTATTTTGCATACCTTATCTCTTTCCTGTATGTTTTATGTGGAATAAAAACCTTACCTAATAAAAATGTCACCATCTAGTGGTGACTCCTACAAACTGCAAACACATAATCGTTAACTCCCTAATAATATATCTATATATATGCACACACACACACACATATATATAAAATATGTAAAATCTCTAAAATTTCTGAGAGTTGTCATTGACAAAAGCAAATAATTTTGAAGACAGCAAACATCATAGTATTATTCGGAATATAATAAAAAGAGAACTTGGTTATGCATTATTTGGAAGCTTTACTTTTATGATATTGGATTTCATAAATAGATTTTCTCTTAATTTCTTATGTTTTCAGCTACTTTTATTCATTTCTTTACTATAATATTTACTGGATGACTGCTACCTGCTAGAAATTGTTCTAGGTACTTAGGATTTTAACTGGGAACAAACACAAAACAAATACACGTGTTGTGTAAATTTGAGCCAACTGAAGCTCAGGAACACACATACACAAGACTGCTTCACTCCTAACACCAACTGCAAACTGAGAAGTTTCTCCAAACCGCTGCTAGTTTCCACTATTCATTAGATGTATTCACAGAACTCAGGAAAAGCCATGAGCCAAAACTCATGGTTATGGTTTATTCCAGGGAAAAGATATAGAACTAAAATCAACCAAGGGAAGAAGTACATAAAGTTAAGTCTAGGAAGAGTCCTCAATGTGTACTTTCTGTTTTTCTTTTCCCATGGAGTCACATACAACATGCATTTCCATGCATCGGTGTGTGGCAACATGAACAGCATATTGCCATCCATGAAGTTCATATGAACTTTGTGTCAGACCCTTTATTGGTGCTCCACCACAGTAGGAGCAGAAGTAAGCAGAACTGACTGTTCACATGACTGGTAAGTGTTTCCATTCCTTAAGAGGTCAAAGACCTCGTATGAAATGACTCAAAGGCTTCAAAATAAATCACATTATTACTATCTGGCTGGTCCAAGGCCCTTACAAAAGACAACTTTATTAGGTATGACATTCCAGGGACTTAGAAATTATCTCCCCTGAAGCTGAGAGAAAAGGCTAGACCTTCCTTTGGATAATGTTAAGTTCTTTATCACACATTTACATTACACAGATGGTCCCTGACTTATAATGGTTCAACTTACCATTTTTCAAATTTAGGAAAAGTTTGCAAAAGTAATACAAATTCAGTAGGAACCATATTTCAAACTTAGAATTTCAATCTTTTCTTAGACTAGTAATATATGGTGGAATAATCTTTTCAAGTTGGGCAGCAACAGCATGCTGCAGCTCCCAATTGACTATCAGATGATGAGGGTAAGCAACTGTAGTCCTATATTGCTAAGCTACAGTGTTTGGAAGGTTAGGCATATTGAATCCATCTTCAGCTAATGCGATACTTTCAATTTATGATGGAACATCACCTCATCACAAATAATGTGTGTGTGCATGTATTTAAATGCCAAGCATATTGACAGAAAACAGGGACCAGAGATAATGAGCACCAAGGAGAAACATTAGAATAAAGGTAAAATAATGGAAAGAGTGGCTTTTCCAATAATTAAGTCAAGAAAAGCTAACAAAGTAACATTTCATCAGAGACTGTAAGAAGACAGTGAGGAAACACACTAATTATCTAGTTTGGCAAAGGGAACCATCAGTTTCCAAAAGTAGGAGTGTGCTTTTGCAAGTTTTGAACCTACCAAAGAAGTCAATATGAATCCAGATGAATGAGACGGGAAGAAAGTGGGTGGGGACAGACAAATAAGGACAAGGACACACAGGTCATTCATGCCTTACAGATCAGGTATAGATTTTAAATATTACTGTAAAGGTCACCCTGAGAGGACAGTAACCAGGGAAATACAGAAGTGATGCTATATGATTTGAGACCAGTTAATAAAAATGTTATATACTTCCACCATGCTCTGTGATATGTGCACTTAGAACTTAGGTGTCATGCTGTGAGAGGGTTCAAACTAGACCATAGATGGAAATTCAATGAAAGGGCTGGGTGTCAGTGTTCCAGGCCATAGCCAGCCAATGGCATCAGACATTTCAGTGAAAATGCCTCCAAATGATTCCAAATTTCAACTAGCAAGAATTTCCAGGACAGACCTCATCCATCTTGAATCAAGGAAAAAATCATACCCACTGTGCCATGTCCAAATTCCTGATCCATGGAATATATAAGCATAATGGCTATTTTATATCATTGAGTTTTCAGGTGATTTGTTATATAATATTAATAATTGTAGTAATATTCCAGAACTTTCATCAGCTTTTATGTAGTTGAGAGAGAATGCAGAAGCTACCATTTATTGCATAGTACATCAGGAAGCACCTAATGAGGCTAGCTAGCAATCTAGACAGAGGAATTTCGGGGGGGGGGGAATCTTATAGCTAAAGGTTTCAAGTAGCCTGTCTGCCAGTAAGCCAACTAACAGTGACAGCCAACTACAGGGGCCTCCAGAACACAAAATCGTGAAATAAGGTTGAATTAGTCAGGGTCAACCACACAGGCTTTGAAGGGCATGAGTTCACTAGCATACAATATTAATGAATATTAGTCCAGCATCAGATCATACTAGCAACTCTAGAACAGCAAACAGTAAGTATACAAAGGATGCCATTTATAGTTACATAACCTTCCCCATGCCTCTTACATGAAGCCCCATTTTAGAAAGAAAGAAGAGAGAAATAAAAAGGTTTAACATAGTGGAATTTCAGTTACATGAAATGAGACTGTCCTAAAGAAACCAGAAAAAATTAGCTGGCAATTTTAAGATATTCCCATTATTCCTCTATTGCCTAGCAGGGAGGAAACTTAGAGATTAGATCAGTAATAATAATTTTAAAACCATACATTTGCCCATCTGAGCCAGTTATAGTCAGGAACAGATATTCTCTACAAATTCATTTTCAAGACAAGTAAAATTATTCAATGTGTTTCAAAATTTTATGCAAGAAGTTACTTTACTGAGTTATTTAATAAGTTCTTCCATATTCTTCCTGATATGAAAGAAATATTTTTTCCATTTTTTCATCTTTTTTGCATCCCCCCAGCCAGCCCGATTGTTATATTCTATACAGGGCTAGGGTCATTCTTATCCACATACTCCCCCATCTCCAACCATAAGTGGAGGAAGGAGTCAATTAAAGATTCCATTTCCAAGGCAAACTCTAAAGATAATCCCCACTCCCAGACCTTCATAAATATTAGACCCAAGAAGAAATTACACAAGAACTGTGTTACAGTATTGAGATAAATAATATGGAGGATAAGTGACTTCCTGAAATTGAGAAAACTGAAGTAATTTCCAGTATCACAACAGAGATATGTATGTGTGGCTCACCCTTGCTGAATTCCATAGGTGACTAGACTAGGGAAGGGAGTGGAGGTCTATAGAAGGTGGACATCAAAAGCTGTCAGTTTCAAAGCAATAAGTTATGCATTCTTTGTCCAAGCCCATGATCAGTGGAGAGGACATTTGCTAAGAGATATTAAAGGCTGCTCAGAGCTCAGCATGATAATAGTCCCCTCAAGAGTTTTGCTACTAAAGTCTATTTATCTCAAAAGCTACTGCTTAATTTATCTAATTCCACAAATTAAAATCTTTTGCTGTAATAACTCATGACTGTTGAACAAGAAAAACTTTCCCATCCCTCATAGTTCAGTGTATGGGAACTCAAAGAGATGATTGTTAGAATTTGGGGCTTTTACAACAAAGTCCCCTTATTTGTGGTGGATATGCTCCAAGATGCCCAGTGGATACCTGAAACTCCAGATAATACTATGTTTTGTTTTATACACATGATGGCATTTACTTCATAAATTAAGTGCAGTAAGAGTTTAACATCAGTAATAATTAAAACAATTGGGCCGGGGATTTAGCTTAGTGGTTCTGCTGCCTGCCTTGTAAGCACAAGGTCCCGAGTTCAATCTCCAGTACCAAAAAAAAAAAAAAAAATCAAGTTATAAAAGTAATGTAATAAAAATGTGAATGTGCTCTTTCTTCCACATGAATTATCTTGTCTCACACTCACCCTTCTTATGATGATGTTAAGTCACACAATGTCTACAGTGACGAGATGAACTAAAGCTCAGTGCTTTCTGGCACAACATGTTACTATCAGTATGTTTTTTGTTCATATCTTCCACCCACAAATGTAATGCCTCTTCCAGCTTAACTAATCATTTTTCATGCACTATGGCCATTACTTTTTTAGTTTAAGGTGTTACAGCAAAATTAGCATGAATTTTTTTCCTTCACAATTTACTGATAGAGTTATTCTTTTTTTTGTTGTTTGTTTTTTGAAGTACCAGGGATCAAACTCAGGACCTTGCGCTTGCAAGGCAGGCATGGTGCCAGTGAGCTAAATCCCTGGCCCCTAGATTTATTCTTGTTTTTTTTTTTTGGTACTGGGGATCAAACTCGGGTCCTTGTGCTTGCGAGGCAGGTGGCAGCACTACTGAGCTAAATCCCTGGCCCCACTAGATTTATTCTTATACAGCTTAGTAATGATTTTTTCTTTCCTTATTAAGCTGAGAATTTTCATCTTTTTACTTAAAAGAACCACATTATGGTTTTGTTTTTGCCTATTGGAATAGGCAGCAAGACTACCCCTATGCTTTGGGGACATTACTTGGTAAACTTGAATACAAACACAGCAATACCACTACAGTTGATCTGCTAAGAGGGCAAAGTGACTAATGGGCAGGTGCCCTATAAAATATGGACTGACTGAATAAAGGGATGCTTTGGGTACTACACAGGACAGAGTGGAATGGCATGAAACTTCATCATGTCACTCAGAACAGCACACAGCTGAAAACTTAAGTGTTATTTCTGGAATTTCTCATTTATTATTTTGGATAGCAGTTGAAGGCAATTGAAATTATGGAAAGTGAAACAAAAAAGCGGAACCACTATATATCATCTTAATTAGGGAAGGGGAGAGGACATTTATGAGAAATCAAATGACTTTTAGAAAACATAAATGGGCCCTTAGGATAGATGTGAGATATGTTAGTTTTGTGGCCGTATCTAAGTGGTATGCTGACTTCTAGTCTCCAGTTATGAGTCAGTATTCCCTGGTTCCCCTCGTGGGGAGAGGATTTATGACAGCTGAGTTTTCTTTAGTTTTTGGGGGAGGCTGTTTTTTAGGTACATAAAAAGATTTCAGAAACTCAAATACCATCTACTCAAATAACTTTCATATCACAACTGAACATTTTGGACCCTCCAGGCCACACAGCATTTCCCTTTCTTAATCCACTGTACAATGATTTCTGCCTTTATCTTCTTCTCAATAATGAAAGTTCACACCCTACTTCCCTTCTGCAGCATCTCCAGCACCTTTAAATCAGTTAAAGGTAAATGAAGGGACAATCCTCTGGTAAACATCGAGCCTGTGTGGCTAAATCACTTCATAATTCAAAAAGTTTGCACAAACCACTCGGTGGCCTGCTTAATAATATGTGGCTTCAAAAGAACACGTGGATCCTTAAATGCTTATTTACACTTCCTAAATGTTCTGGACTTAATTTAGGTAGTGGATAAAGACAGTAAATGACAATCCTTTAAAGAAAGGAGCACATTTAGGTTTTATCGTACATTTGAAAGAAGTATCAGGCTGTTCTCAAGAAAGGTAACAAATTCATTTTAGACTGTTAGGAAACTACTCATTGATCCACATGTTTTGTTTGAACTGTTTACTTTTCTGAGCTTAATCAGAAGCAAACTCCAGAACATAACACCAGGAATAAATCCCTAAACCCATTTTCTCACTTGCTAAGCTTAGGTTTTTTTAAAAATGTAAAAAATAAAAAATTTTAAAAGCTGCAAGCCTTTTGTTGGCCCTGCTTCCTGAGGAACAAGGTAGGCTCATTTCCGCCTCTTTCCGGATTTTCGCGGCGGGCTGACGTGACATCACCGGAAACGGCTGCTTGTGACGCTAAAGAGCCCTCCTTCTCGCTCTGGGCTCCGGAAACAAAGCGAGAGTGGATGTGCATCTGCTTCCGGCCCCAGACGCCATTTGCAGCGGTTGCGGCTTCTCACGGGGAGTACTTTTCCCGAACAATGAGCTATGACTACCATCAGAACTGGGGCTGCGATGGCGGTTCTTGCAGCTCCAATGGTGGGTATGGAAGGGGCCACGGAGGGAGTCGAGGCCCCGGAGGCGGCGGCGGCGGAGGTGGTCGAGGTGGACGGGGCCGGCATCCCGGGCACTTGAAAGGCCGCGACATTGGCTTGTGGTACGCGAAAAAACAGACACAGAAGAACAAGGAGGCGGAGAGGAAGGAGGTAATCTGAGATAATAGTAGAAGAGGTGATACACACAAGATTCCTTTTTTTATCCCGCTACCTCCAGTCTTTGCTTTTGTTTGACTGATGCACGTGTTTTGTGACGTGTAGGCAGGCCAAGGACAGATGCACGTATTATGCTGAAGCTCCGTGTAGCGGATATTATACCGCTTGGCGTTCTTTGTGTGAGTCTGGCCAGACGCAGTCAGGATTTGTGGGTTGAATTCTTTGGCGAAGTCAAAAATAGTGACCTTACATTGCAGACAAGTTTACGCAGAATAGAAGTAGTGAAGCACTATTTTGATTGTAGATCGGGTTATTATTAAATTACCCACAACTCCAGGATTTGTGCGTGTGTGTGTTCAGGTGAGGAAATTTGTTAATTAACAGCCCCTCTTTTAGAAGGAAATGTAGCATGCTAGAGGGGAAAGAAACTTCAGAATATGATTTGATTGGTCTCTTCAGTTTGATATGTAACTTGAAAATCTGTAGTAAAGGATATCAAGTTGCATTAATAGTCCATACTTTTTTAAAGGTGATTTTTATCATTTAAAAAAAGCAGGTTTCTTAATATAGGCCTTTGAACCGTGACCTAATGAAAAGCATCTTTTATTAGCTACTAAGTATAATTCAGTCGTCTTTTAAACCACTGTGTTTTGGTTTGGGTTTTGGGGGGGGGGGGGTTCTTCCAATACTGGGGATTGAACCCAGGGTTGGACTACATTGGCAGCCCTTAACTTTTTTTTTCTTTTTGGAAACAGGGTCTTGCTAAGTCACTAAATTGCCCGGGCGCCCTTGAACTTGCAGTCTTCCTGCCTCAGCATCCCAGAGTGCTGAGATCACAGGCTTGCGCCATCATACTGGTTTAGGCTAATATTTTTGAACCATTTCTTTATTTTTCTTTAAAGGAAATCTTTTTGTTGAAATGTTTTTGGGCTTTATTGGTTTATCTTCACAACTTACCACATTCTTCTCTTCAAAAAAACAAACCTATGGGGCTGGGGATTTAGCTCAGTGGTTCCGCCGCCTGCCTTGCAAGTGCAAGGACCCGAGTCTGATCCCTGGTACCAAAAAAAAACAAACAAAAAACCTATGTTTCAACAGCCCCCTCTTCAGTGAAAAAAACTTGTTCATTGAACAACTGCTTTTTGAAAATTTGGAGAAGCACAATTAATCCATAATAGAATTGGAACAGTAATTGAAGTCATAACTGTAAAGATATAAACAATAACTTTATCTGCTTTTATTTACCTTCTATTTCATTGAAGGTTCTATGCATGTTGCTACAGGAATCTGAAAAATACTATGTTCAGGGAGTTTTACAGAAGAAAAGTTAAGTCAGGAAAAGTTCTTCATTATTTCCACACAAAGAGTATAGCTACTTGTGCAGTGGATATTAGGAACAAAATTCTTGATCTCATCCCTTTTTCCCAAACCTCCATTTTATAAATATCACAACCACTTGCTCATTGCCAAGGCCAAACGGTACATATGTTTGATTCTTCTTTTATTGTTTTAGCAAAGCCATATTTTTCCTTTTGTGTGTGCATAGTGGGTGTCCTGTTGGGGTTTGAATCCACAGTCTTTGCACTGAGCCAGTTTTGGACCCAGGCTGGGCAACTTTGTACATCCCTAGTCTTGTTTTGTTTTTTTTTTTAAATTTTCTGAGACTGGGTCTTGCTAAGTTGCCCAACTTGGGCTCAACGTTGGCAGCATTAGGCTCCTGGATTACTGGGATTATAGACTTGTGCTACCCTGTCTGACATTGTCCTTAATACCGTATATGCCAAATATATCCACTCACCTCTATAGCAGTTACAGTATTATATATTGGCCACTAGTTTTCTGTTTGTAGTCTCCTAGCTAGTCTTGGTTCCACACCTGCATCCCATTAAATCTATAGCTTATAGAGTCACTCATGGTGATCTTTTAAAAGAAAAAATTAGATCCATTCCCTGGCTCACAGCTTGAGATTTGAAAAACTGTCACTTGTCTCATTTTAATGCATTTTTCGTGGCATGTTAACATGTTTTTCTGGGCATCTTGGTAATTTAGCTTCGGCTTATCAGGTTTCCCTTAATGTACTTCCTAAGCCCAGGTCCCCAACGTGATACAGTATAATTATATCTTTTGTAAACATGCTTCACTTTTGTTTTTTATTGCAAAGTCATACCATTCTATCTAAAGTGAATTTTTACATCTTCTTGAAATATGAATATTTTCAGTTGGCTCTTTGACCTTCAGCCTGATACGATTGCTTTTCAGTCAGAATTTCCATGGCTTTTACTTTTAAAATAATCTTTGTGCTTACAGAATAGAAACATTCTAATGACACATTCTTGCTGTTCTTTCCAAGACATATTCATGGAGGACTTGATTTGTTTGAGTCAGTATCTTATGCACTGTATAGTACCTACATTACAGAGATACTGAATGTTAGGGGCTGAAGACAGAAAACAATGTTAAAGTGTTGTTATGATAAGAATATGGGCTGCCCCCTACCTCAAATGATTTTAGAAGATTTTGGAGAGGAAATTGGAAAGATAGCAAAGTGTGTATATCTGTGTGTGTTTGGGGTTCTGGAATTCGGAAAGGTTTTTCATACAAAGGCAGAAGTTTGTGCCACAACACAGAGATCAGGAAGAACATCTTCAAGGAACTGAAAGACAAGAGTATGGATGTAAGCTGTGGTTAGGTGAAGGTAGAGCAGTAGATTTCAGCCTTATCTACTACTTGGCTCAAAAGGAAATGCATTTTAATTTACAACCAGAACATAATTAAAATGGAAATTTCATAAAATGATTCTTAAACCTACCTGCACATTGTCCTGGATTTTGTTGCTGTTGTCTTTATATTTCCCTGCTCTCTTATTAATTTAGGTCATGACCTTTTAAAATCATTTCACCATCAGAAGTTTGGAAAGCTGTAGATTAGAAAAATAAGGAGCACCTTCAAATTCATTTACTTTTCTTAAGAATCTTAGCAAGCCATTGAAGTATTCAACAAAGAATGAAATAGTTTTTAATTTTTAAATTTCACTCAGGTAGTAATGTAGGGAAGGAATTGAAAAGAGGGCAGTCCTGAGGGAGGAAGACCAGTTAAGTAGGCCTTGCAATAATTAAGGTGGGAAATGGTAGCTTGAATTAAGTTATTGGCAGTGGAGATGGAGCCAGTTAGTTTAAAGTAATTTAGTAGGTAAGACTCAAAATAAGTCTGATTTATCTGAGGGAATGAGCACAACAAGTGATAATGGATAAGACTTTTATGATTATGTCAAAATCAGCCCTGTTGGAGGAAGACGATGGGCACTATGAGTTTGATACTGTTGTCAGGCATAGAAGTCAGGATTTCAGGATGGATATGATACCTAGGGAAATCTACAGTGGAGGTGACCATTTGGCAGTTTGTGGGCTTGTGGATAATAATTGGAGTGTGAGTGAACAGTGAGAAGAGGAAAGGACCCAGACCTGAAGTTTTAGACCATTGCTTCTTTTACTTGAATGTGTAGAGGAGTCACCAGGCACCTTGTTAGAGTATAGGATTGAATAGAGAGACTGGGCCTAGAGGATGTGGTTTTCTAACAGGCTCCCAGTGATGCCAGTGCTGCTGACCTGTAAAAGGCACAACACAAATATTTAGGGGACAGGCTTAGGAAAGTAAGTTGTAAAAGAATCTAGAAGAAGCCAGAGAAGAGAAAAACAAGGCATTGGGTGGTGTTTTAGAACCCAAGAAGTTTAAAGAGGAGAAGAGAAACCATAAATCCTGAAGCAAGAGCTGAGAATGTCCATTAGATCTATCAGTAAGGTCATTAATGAGCCTTGAGAACCCATTCGGTGAAGTGGTGGGAGGAAAAAGCATATTGTAATAGGGTAGCAAGAGAAGGAAAGATGAGAAAATGGAGCTTTTTTTTTGGTACCAGGGCACAAACTCGGGACCTTATGGTTGTCAGGCAGGTGGCGGAACCACTGAGCTAAATCCCTGGCCCTGAAAATGGTGCATTTTTGATGTGAAGAAAAATAGTGCAATAGCTTATGGGGTTGGAGAATTTAAGATATGGTTTTTGTTAGGTTGTTGTTTTTGTTTTTTTTTTAATAAAGAGATTCAGTGGTGTTCCTTTACTGACTTGACTTTCTGCTTTGGCCAGTTCTGCCCTTATTTCTTTGTCGGAGGTGGTGTTTTTTTTTGAAGTAAGAGGACTCTTGTATGTCTGTGGTTTCAATACCCAGCTCTTTGCTGAGCACTCCAAAATTCTTGTCATAAATTCTAAAAACATAGACTCAAGAGATCCAGTTTCATATTTCTGGCTGCCTAATAATTATTACAGTTAGGGAATTTCACCATTGATTTTCTTTTTTTTTTTCCCCCATTAAGTTTATTGGTACATTTTCGGTATAAAATACTGTTACATTCATCATTGGGATCTTGTACCTTTACATGAGTCTCTTGGTTCTTATTTTTTTCCCCTTCCCTTGCCCTCCCTTCACCCCCTCCACCCTTCCCTATTTGCAGAGACCTTGTTTCCATTTTTTTTTTCCTCTTTTCATATTTTTTCCTTTCCCTTTTTTCCCTTCCCCTACCCCTCCCAATTCCCCTGGTCTTTTAG